TATCATTATTTTTTTTTCTAATCAACATGGTTAATTGCAAACTGTGTTCTAAAACAGTAAGCCGAGAAGACAAAACTAAAATAGTTTGTGTCACGTGTCAAAACCTATTTCATGTGAAATGTACAAAAATTGGTTCTACAGACTTAGAAGGCCTAAAAGAGACCACCAAAAAATGGAGATGTAGCGATTGCGAATTATTATCGGGTACGTTGCCAGCTGCTGAGTCTAGTAGTATACCTGACCTACTGAGAGGGCTCACCGAGGAGGTCAGGGAATTGAAGTCCAAACTTCAAGGGATAGACGAACTGAAGGAGATAAAAGAAGCCCTACAGAAGCAGTCGGAACTCTCATTTGAGAACATGGACCGTCTGTTAAAAATAGAAAGACTCTTAGAGGATCAGAAAACCCATGTTGAAAATTTGACAATTGAAAACAACAAACTCAAAACAAAAATATCAGATCTTGAAATCCGACTAAATTTTACAGAACAAAGTCAACTCAAAAATTCGATTGAAATAAGAGGCATTCCGGAGAAGCCAGGTGAAACTGTAACTGGCACAATTCTTAGCATCGGAGAGGGTCTGGGCGTCAAGCTGAGTCCGGAAGATCTTGATCACGCCATAAGACTTTCTCCACAAGACATCTAGGCTGGAGTGAGAATGACTCGCACCGCGTATATGTAAGTGAAGCCATGACGCCCACCAACAAGCACCTCTATTGGTTAGCAAGGCAGAAGAAATTAACTGCTAAAATAAAATATGTTTGGTTCAGTGGAGGAAAAATTCGCTGCAGAGAGTCAGATGGATACCCACCGGTGATAATAGGAAAACCGAGTGACCTTGACGTATTCAGCTGAACGTTGCTCACAAGTTACTCTGAGTTTGCATTTGACTTATTTTTTCTCGCCAGAAATAATTTTACTTTATTTTTTTTTATCTTCAGGTTTTTTTACTTTAATATAAACGTAGCTTTTTTTATTTTTTTATTTATACTGAAGCTTTTTTTTATTTTTTTATACATTTATTTTCGCCAGAAATATTTTTACTTTATTTTTTTTTATCTTCAGGTTTTTTTATTTTCATATGAGTGTAACTTTTTTATTTTTTTTATTTATATTGAAGCTTTTTATTATTTTTGTATACATTTATTTTCGCCAGAAATATGTTTACTTTATTTTTTTTATCTTCAGGTTTTTTTATTTTTATAGAAATGTATCTTTTTTAATTTTTTTATTTTTATCGAAGCTTTTTTTATTTTTGTATACTTTTATTCTCAACAGAAATAATTTGATTTTAATCTTTTTTACTTTTAGCACTCTTTATTCTTGTATAAATTATTTACAACTTTATTTGGTTATTTACCAAAATGTATCAATATATTTAAAACAAGGGGATATTTATATTTTACAGACAGGGGAATTTATATGCTATAAATTATATTTAACAGAATATTTATTTCGAAATATTGGAAATTCATTACTTTCATCTCAACTTTTATTTTATGTATGCAATTTTTTAATATTTTTTATTATTATTTTTAAACGGAGTATTTGTTTAAAAAAAATGTTATATCCTATCCTTTATCTTCGATCCTTTTCACCAAACCTCTGCTTCCCAACTCTACTATAATGACTAATATTCTGAATTCCTGTCACATCAACGCCCAATCCCTTATTGCACACTACGATGAATTCCAGAAATATTTCCTTGACAATTTTCACCATGTAATAGCAATATCTGAAACCTGGCTAAAACCTTTTATCCCATCCTCCCAGATTTCCTTACCAGATTACTCGTTCCTACGTCACGATAGATCGCATCGCACGGGAGGTGGCGTCGGATTATATATCCATGACAGCCTTAAGGCCAAAATCCTTCTACAGTCTCCTTATCATGATTTTCCTCACATAGAATACATGTTCGTTGAAATCACCTCACTTTCCTCTCCTCTGTTGTATGCCATAATTTACCGCCCTCCTCGTGTTCCATTTGACAACCTCTTTGAATCTTCCCTCATTAACCTGGTCTTACCGACCTGTTGTTTTCCCTTAATCTTCATCTTGTTCCTTATTCTCCTACCCACCACACGCAATTTTCCGGTACTTGGTTAGATCTTTATATCTCTGACTCCCCCATCAAAATCCTTTCTTCTTCTCAACACCCAGTTCCATTTCTTTCATCACATGACCTGATCCAAATTACATACGACCTACCCGTAAAATCCTTCACTCCCAAAATAGTTTCATACCGCAATTTAAACCTTCTTTCCTATGAATCCCTTCAACCAGACCTTAATTCTCAGCAATGGGACACCATATATTCCTACAACTCCAATGATCCTATGGTATCCACCCTGACCTCAAACCTACAATCTATATTAGAAATCCACGCTCCTCTGAAAACCAAAACCTTACGCCGTCCCACTGCGCCTTGGCTGACCCGTGAGATAAAGGAAATGATGAGGGGAAGAGATGCAGCAAGGCGCAAATACCGTCAAACCCGTCTAGCTGTGGATTATGTGTCTTTCAAGGCGCTTCGCAATGGGACCCAATCCGCAGTCCGTCTTGCTAAAACCACCTACTTCCATAATGTCCTGTCCAATGCTCCCGACCCCAAATCTAAATGGAAAATACTCCGCAAACTATTCCTACCAGAGTCCATTAATCGTAGTTCCTTCGATCTTTCTCCAGATGATCTCAATAACCATTTCTTATCCTTTACTCACTCTTCCTCTCATACTTTCGACATTAAACATCACAAATTCAATCCTGAAGACTTCTTTTTCTCCCACGTGTCCTATGATGAATTACTTTCCACCATCCTAAAATCCCACACCAATGATTATGGTCCCGACAATATTCCTGTAAAACTAATAAAATCCACCCTTCCTGACCTTATTCCTGTTCTTTATCATATCTACAATTTTTCACTGCAGAACTCCATATTCTCATCCTCCTGGAAAACCGCCCTAGTCTGACCTTTGAATAAAATTGCCAATCCTACCTCACTGCACGACTTCCGTCCTATTTCTCTCCTATCCAACCTCTCAAAGCCGCTAGAACGCCTTGTCCAAAATCAGCCCTCAAACTTCCTAGAGGAACATTCGTTTATCAACCCATGCCAATCTGGCTTCCGACCCGGCTATTCAACGCAATCTGCTCTCCTTAAAATAACCCATGACCTACAAAACTCCATTGAACACCAAAACCTTACTATCCTCATCCTTCTAGATTTTTCCAAAGCGTTTGATACAGTTGACCATAACATCCTTCTTACCAAATTGCAAAACCTTCCTCTATCCAACAGTGTCCTGCATTGGTTCAAATCCTTCCTTTCCAATCGATCCCAGTATGTAGTAGTCCCTGATCAACCTCCTTCAAACACACTTCCCCTCTCCTGTGGTGTCCCTCAGGGTTCCTCTCTCTCTCCTACTCTGTTTGCTATTTACATCAATGATCTTCCCCTCCAGATCCGTCACTCCCGATACCACATCTATGCAGATGATTTCCAAATATACCTTTCCTTTCCGCCCTCCGACCTATTATCTGCCACAGAAAAACTTCAAGAAGACTTAGATGGAATTTGTGACTGGGCAAGAACAAACAAGCTGAAGTTGAATGCGGATAAGACAAAGGCAATCTTAATAGGCTCCAATCACCTCCTTAAAACTGTCCCTACTCTTCCAACTCTGTTCCTACATAATAACCACATCAAATTTCACCCCACCATCAAAAATCTTGGAATAACCATTGATCAAACGCTTTCTTGGAAAAATCATATATCCAATATTTCCCGCCGTACCATTTCCATCCTAAAACGTCTTAACTACTCCCGTCACCTATTTCCTTTTGAAACCTGTAGGCTCCTAGTCACTTCCTTAATTTTTCCCCACTTTGACTATTGCTGTACGGTATATGGGGGCCTCTCTGGGGATCTCGAGGCGAAACTAAAAAGTTTGATAAATTGCTTTGTACGATTCATCTTCGGGATCCCAAGGGACGCCTCTGTTTCCCATCTTTACGCGGAGTTAAATTGGCTTTATCCTTCCTACCGTCATAAGTATTTCCTGGCATCCTTCCTCTTTCAAGTCATCCAATCCCACCGTCCCTCATACATCTCCGAGCTCCTTCAATTCAAATCCTCTGTTCGTTCCCGCAATACTCGTTCCCGGTCTTCTGATTTATACATAAGGGCCCACCGAACCGCTGCTTTCGACAAATCGTTCATTATCCGATCCTCATCTCTATGGAACTCCATCCCTTCCCATATCCGTCAATCTAATACCCTTCCTACCTTTAAATCCCGCCTGTTCAATCATTTCTTATCCATCCAGTCCCCATAAAATCGTAAATAGATACTACTGAAAATATGTACATAAGTTATTAGTTCGTTCTTCATTATTTGTTCTCCAATTTTTGTTTATCTATTTTTTTTTTTTTCTCTTTTATTATCAACTGATCAAAATTGGAAAGCAACTTATATGTATATGTGTATATATATATATATATATATATATATATATATTATTTTTTTAACCAAAACTGTTCAATTACTCTGTATTTTTATTTATATATCTCTGAGGCTCCTTAGCCCTCATTTCTGTCTTCCTGTATTATTCTAAAGGGACTCGTCCCAGAATAAATAAAGTATTATTATTATTATTATATATTGTGGCAGGTTATAATTATTTTTAATGCTTTAAAAATGGACTAGTTTCTACCAATAAGTCTTCTGATAGATTTTTATATATATTTTTCAGATGAAAATTGATATAATGTTTTAATATCTGATTGTATCCCTGATGATGCCAGAATTAGGAAACATTTGGATAATTTTACAATAAATTTTTTTATCAATTGATAATGTAAAGGCCTACTTCTTAAATATAACTATTCTTAATCAATAGAAACTAATTATCACAAACCAGAGCCAATAATAAATTTTATATAATATTAATCCTATTTTATTGCCAAATATACTAAAAACAAATGATTCCTTTACCTCAGCAACATTTTCCGGACCTCCTAATTCATCAATCAATTGATCAAGAGTGTTTGGGGGCAAACTTTCACCTAATTCCTCTATTTTTCTGAGCAATTCCTCTTTCATGCCACATGCTCTTTCAATTGCCATCTGTCCAGGAATACCAGATGGATCACGGTGGTTTGAGATTTGTCCTTTGGTTTGCTTTATTATTAATGAATCTATTTTTTCTTGGGTTGATAACTTTTTTTTAACTGGTTTTTTAGAGTTTTTCCCCTTCTTTTTCCTTGATAACCACGGATCTAAAATAAGAAATTTCCTTTTAATTAGCAAAGTTACTACTACTGGTATAGTTTAATGCATTTATTGAAATTATTCTAAACTTATACTAAACCTTCTGTCACCACATTAAAATATCATTTCCTTTATTATTAAAAGGTAAGGTTAAGATATTTGTTGTTGCAGTTGCCAAATTACTGAATTTGTTGTTTCTTTTCAAAAATTTAAAGAACTATAATGCTTTCTAATGTTTTAAACATGCTGACCAAATGCAGCTGCTCATGTTAAAAGAAAAATGTGAAAAAGTTTTTGAAAATTAAGTATTGTGTATAATCTTTGAAAAAAGAGAGATGATTCAACCAGAGAATTTTATGGGCTATACAACTGCAAATTGTTTGACACAGTAAATATTATTGAAGGGATCACATCACAAAAAATGAAATGGAAGGACAAGCTGTGATGAATAACAGATTGAACCATTAAAAGGATAATCAGTACTAGTCTGATGGGGAAATATTTTATAGCTCAACAAAAATGTAGATGGGCGAATAATTCAACGTTTAACTTTGAGGTTTTGGGCTTTGGGAATTCAATAGAGGAAAGTTTCTATGCGAGGACTGTTAGTGTTATCAGTAGAAACCGGATTTCCATGTTATTGAACATTTTATTCGCTTAGGTATAAGCACTTCAAACCCAACAATCTATCCATTTCACTATCTGTAGAATAACATATTGAAATTTCATTTTGCACATTTTGGGCTTAATCGCACATTTTTGGTTTTTGTAGGATGATATTGTATATTTTACAATTTAAGGGCTTAATTTCAATTTTAACAGTATAAAGTAAAATATTGAACCAAATTTCCTTTATTCCATGTATATAGGTATGTATGTAAATATTTATTTACATTTATTATATATTATATTAAATTGTTACTTGAGAACAGAGGTGTCCAAACCATGGACGGCATAATAGTTTTTAAATTTTTTGTTTTCACTTTTTTATATTTAAAATAATATATTCAAGTTATCTTTCTGGGATCAAAAGATATCATAGACTCGTATTGCTCAATACAAGTAACAAAATTACCATCCAAGTACATCCATTTATATTGTATAAATAATAGTATAATTGGGGGTAACATATTCTATAATTTAATTTAATGCAAGTGAATATAGTCACATACAAAGCCCCTTATCTTTGTAGTTCTGTTATTCACAGTTCCAAATTATATGTATATTTAGTTTCTAGTTTTCAAACTACCAAGTACTTGTAAACACAGTTTTATTGCCACTTGGCCGAATGTTCTTTGACAAAACGCCACCAGATTATGCGAGGGAGTATGGATTTTTATAAAACCTAAGGAGCTTAACTCAAAATATACTTTTTTAAACATTCAAAAATAATTGAAGATAAGATTAATGTTTTGTAAGCTGCTTTTCTATCATACAGATTTAGGTTAATCACCGTTCATTTTTAATTAGAATTAGATTTTCCCAGGTTTACTACATGTTATACCTAACTTCAATTTATAGGCTATAACTCTTAATATAAGAGTAAGCAAGCATTAAATTGAACAAAAACAATGATTTTTGCATGTTGTGTATAAAATTTTACACTTTATGGGTTTTTACTGCACGATTTTGCACATTTTGAGTTTTAAATTGCACGAAAATCCAGTCTCTAGTCATCAGCATAAACCTATGGTTTTATTTTTTATAGGAAATAATAAGTAAGTAAGTAGGCCAAGATGGTGATAGACTGATGGAATATTCAATAATGTTTAAATCATCTTAAACATCAACAACTGGAGAGAAACAGCACTCAAAAGAAATGCCTGGCAGACGAATTGCCAGAGACTTCGACTTTTTGAGAGTTGTAGTGGCCAAGAAAGAGAAGAGAAAATGAAGAAATACAAATATATAATCAAAACAGTGTTTATAAAGTTTTGATGAACTTAAGGTGAACCCTTGTAGCTTGCAAATTTTATGATTTAAATAACATCACCTAACAAATCAGTATACTGGTAAAACTAAGTATAATATTACAAAAAATTCAAGATCGTTAATTTGACAAGGTTTGAGCAATATCTTCCAGGCTAAACTTTCCTCACAAGGGTCTTCCTTAAGTTGTTGGCTTATAAACATGCATAAATATGTGTGTGCCTTAGACGGGATATAATAAGGGAAAAAATTAAAATTAAGCATATTATAATGAAATCACCTTCACTATCACTGTCATCATCAAAGGGATTGAAATCACTGCTTAAATTACTTTCTTCAGAATGAAATTCACTCTCTGCTGAATCAGAAATAGATAATTTGAATTCAGATCCCGAAGTGGAACCTCCATCAGAATCATCTGATGAATCAGCTTTAACTCTTTTAACCGCTCTTGCTGCAGCTTGTCTAACTAAATTTGAATACAAAAGAATTCATGATAATTGATGAACAGAATGAATGTATTACATATATATTTGATATATCAATAATTACTTGGCTTTCTCTTTCCACTAGATGAGCCTGCTTCATTATGATTAACTGAATTATTATTCATAGACGACTTTTTCTTATCAATTCCTATAAGCTGATTGATCCTATTTCGATCAGGTGCAGGAAAGTGCTTTTCAACAAGAGTCTGCAATACTCCTCTAGAAATTAAATTAAATTAACAATGGATTTATATCTTTAAAAAACAAAAACTTTATATAAAAAATAAACTTAACATACTTAGCAGTAGAAACAAAATCTGTTAATTCACCATCATCTCTTTCTAATTGTTCAAGAGTTCTAGCTTCTCCAGTTGACTGCAAACCAATCACAACACATTTTCCACATTTTACTGCTTCCCTAAATATATAACCAGTATAAATAAATAAAATATTATAAGCATATATATATATATATATATATATATATACATATAAATAAATAAACAAATGTATATATATATATATATATATATATATATATATATATATATTATATATATATATGTATGTATGTATATATGTTAAGCTCCCTCAAGGTTTTACGTTAAAACTTAGAATGAAGCTTAACTAATAAATGGGAAAAAAATAAAATAAAAGGATTACATAAAGTGGATTGTATAATATTGAACAAAAAAAAAAACCTTCAGTGAAGCATCGAGGCGGACTCCCTATATTGACAAAGTCAACAGTATTAAAACTTAAAACTTAGCACTTGTATATAGTTAAGGCTATAATTTATTATTTTATGGCTCTACGACCCACACCTTGAGTCATTTCTGTTATGTGCAAATTTCCAGTTACGAATGCCTAATATCGATAACGCATGGGTAGTAAAACAGTCTTATCATTGGAGACAAGGGGCCCTCCAACCTTTCGTGCTCCAAATATTTTCTCTTATTGGACTTAAGATGGGATTTCCTCTGGATTCATCCTGACGATGTGGCCCGCCTATCGCAATTAAGAGAATTTAACCACATCGACCACGTCTAACTCCTTGTATAGACAGGATGGCAACCAGACAGTCAATGTAAAATTCCCTGACTTTTCCCTCTTTAAAGATAGTTTTCTCTGACAAATATGTTTGGGGACACAAATATTAAAAAGGTATAATTTATAACTAAATTTATTTATTATACATGAAAGAAAATTATCTAATATTTCAGTAAAAAAAAAAAAAAAAATCAATCTTTTAAATAACAAATGTAATGTTTTAGAGGAAGAATGTTTTAAGCTTGATATGATTTTTTATTTTAGAAAACTAAACTTTTAGTTAACTGAGAGGAGAGGAGATAAAAGTTGTTACTTGATATATGAAGCTCTGATTTTCTCGATTATACAATACAATGAGCTACGGAGGATTTGAATATCAATCTAGTTTATCGTAAGCAATTAAGTTTCTTTATTATTATAAACAGTGTAATAAATATCCATATGACACCAACTGTGACATTTCTGGTAAACAAATGCTCTTTAAAGGAACACCATGGGTTGATGAATGAATGCTTGCCAGCCGATGCATTGCATGGCAGCACATGAATTAATAAAAAATATAATACAAAATAAAATGTAAATAGTATATAGGTATCTATCGTTTGCCAATATTAACTATCACTCCCTACTCTTAGCATTAAATTCATATTTCTGTTTAGTGCTATAATAAGAATATGGAAGAGCAAGAAGTTTTTCCTTAAAAGAAAAATTTTATATATGCTGCCGACAGGAGAGTGAAGAGACCAATAGAGCCTGAATCAAGAATGAAAAAACCTAACTCTTTCAACAATATGAAAAAATTTCAAGTCTATTCAAGACAACATGCTGAATGTGGTGAATCTTATAAATCGAATAAATGACAAAATCATTTGTTCTTAATATTCCATAATCAGGGTTAAAGCAGATTTTACTCAAAAAGATTAACAACTATTTAAAATCAATTCACAATCCATTTGATGACATTTTTAAAAGCATTTTTTTTTTTTAAATATTAATAACATTTATATTAAAAAAATGAGCCTGAGAGTTGGATCTTGTTGCCTGTAAAAATGGTGGTTGATTTAAAGAATATTAGACCAGTAACTTGAGGATCGAAACGGAAAACCACAGTCCACCAATGCTGATTTTTACAAAATTCATAAAAAAATAATACAAAGTACTATACATGGCACTGCAGCTTCGAAATATGTTCTCTAAGAGAAAAACTTATAGAATAAAACTTCTATAGCATCAAATTCCCCGTCTACTGAGTAGCAACAATTTTAATATAGGTCACTAACTCCACTCAAATTGATCTACATTAAAACTGTTACTATTCAGTGGATGTGAAATTTGATACTCTACAACTTTTATTCCATGATTTTTTTTCAACTCATTTCCAAGGTGCAGGGCCATTAATAGCAATTTGTCTCAGTTTTTGAGGAATTTGGTATTCAATATTATATTGATGGTATTCAAAGATTATTTTTTAGAAGAGCAGGTTAAAACAGAGGAGCTAGGTAGCTTAGCAACAACTGAACTGTCCACCAGTCAAGCAGATCTACTGGAATTAGTCCAAAATTTAAAACTACGATTTGAAAAGAAGGAATAAAATTTATTACAAATTTCATCATTGTTTGTTATTGACAAATTTCAGAGTAAAAATCAAAATTCGCTTGACCGGCTATTGAGGTATGAACAAGAATGTGAGCGTCACCACGATGTAAAAAACGATAACAAAAAAATACAACTTTACAAATATTTTTAGATGAGAATGCTATTGAATGGTACAATGCTATGCTTATGAAGTTAACCATACATAGTAAGTGGATAGATTGGCGTTATTCATTTCTAAAGACTTACACTGACAAAAGTTGGCAGACAGTTAAGTATGCATACAGTTTTCATAATCTGAGTGGATCTCTTATGGATTATGCTTTAAAAAAAGAGAGACTGCTGTAAGAAGTAAAAGATGACATGACTGATCGATCAAGAATCAATCATATAGTTGTAGGACTGCAGGTCAATAAAATAATTTATTGTTTGTTGTGTCAACAGTAACAATAATAACCACACATTTAATACATTTTATTTCGCAAAATTTACCAATGAATTCAAATTTGGAAATGAGAAGCATGTTAATTCTAACAAGAATATATCTCACCTTGCAGTTGCAACAGCATATCTCACTTTGGCTGCAATACACAAATACTTAAAAAATCTCTGGTGAGATGACCAAAACTGACCCCACATTGTTTTTTTCATTCTATTTTCAGCATCAATCAATTCAGCTGCTTCTTGAAACTTCTGCATAGCTTCAACCCACTATAATGAAAAAATATATTGTTTAGATGGAAATAGTTAAATACAAAATTATAGGACTAAATTTTTAAACTTACAACACTTCAAATTTCTTAAATTAAACAATACAAATTTCAGTGACATTTTTATAAATATGTTGCTAAAAGAAACTTCAAAATCAATATTAAACTATATATAAAAATATTGGGTTGGCAAATAAGTCCTTTCGGTCTTTCTGTTTATTTTTATGTCACTATGATACACTTCTTATCTGATGAATTAACCCCTAAGGTGGATTGTTTATCCTGTTAGTAATATGTCTACAACTACATCTGTTAACTATTGTTGAAACTAGCTTAGTATTGTGATTGCTATTGTACTGTGAATATTAAAGAAAATATCATTCATTATCGGCATATTTTGTTGTATTATTTTAAAAAAGGTAAGCATGCTGCAGAAGCTCGTAGAAAAATTTGCAGTGTTTATGGGGATGATGCCTTAACCGAACGCACCTGCCAAAATTGGTTTGCCAAATTTCCTTCTGAAAATTTTGACATTAATGATGCTCAACGGTCTGGTCGCCAACATGAAATTGAAACGAGCTGTGTTAAGGCCATTGTTGATCGAAATCCCATCCAATCAGTGCGAGAGATTGCTATGGTCCTAAATGTGTAGCACACAAGCGTAGAAAATCGTTTGCATAAGCTCGGCTATGTTTCCAGGCTTAAAGTTTGGGTCCCTCACAGGATTTTTCGAAAATCACAAAATATGTTATAACTTCAACACGACTTTCGCTATCTATAAGACATTTAGCAGGAATTTAGGGCCACATAAACTAAACAAAATGACATCAACAGGACCTCCACAAAGTAGAAATGGAGATAAAAAATAAAAACCTATAAGGAGTTTTTGTTTATTTATTCTTCATGTAGGCATTAAATAAAAAAAAACATTCATACAGCTTTGAAGAGCAATAATTCAAATTTCCAACAGATATAGTAATATCGAATTTGGAGAACATCCTGAATTGTTATGAATGATCAGAAGGGTGTTGTGTTCCACTAAGACAATGCTAGGCCCCATACCTCATTGGTCACTCGAAATAAATTATTGAGCCCTGGATGGGACCTTTTGCCCCATCCTCCTTATTCACCAGACCTAGCTCCAAGTGACTACCACTTATTCCATTCAGAACAGAACTCCATGAATGGAAAGAAATTTCAAAATGAAGAGGACAAAAACCACTTGGATCAGTTTTATAATAATAAAACTGACATTCTATGAACATGGCATTATGCAGTTAGTGGAAAGATGGAAAAAAGTCATATTAAATAATTGCCAATATATTGTAGATTAAAATAAATATTATGTCTATAATACATTGAGTTTTATTTCACTCTGAAAAGCCGAAAGGACTTATTTTCCAACCCAATAGTACAGATGATATTGAATGGCAAATAAAGTAATGTATGAATAAGTATACATAAACAAAGAAAATACAGAGAATCAATTTTATTAACTACTTACAAGTTTCACTGAGTTGTCATAAATTCTTACAAAATCTTGACTGAGAGGAACTTCTTCAATTTTAAAAGCTACACCATGAAAACTTAATTGTCTTGCTATATACATTCCTCTAAGCTTCATATCCATGGCTACTATTTCCATAGCTCCTACTCCTCTGAAAAATATATCAAACTAAGTATTAGATAGACTATCAAAAACATTATTTTTTTTTAACCTAAAAATTAAACTTGAACAAAGATGCATAATTTTTTATTGCAGTTATTTAGAAATAAATGACTATATGTGATAAACTAATAAGCATTATTATTTCATGTTCATAAATGAACAGCAGTTTTTTAAAAACAAAGTTATTATTTATTAAATCAATACAAGTTTTAATAAGGAACATAAGGTTTAAAGTTTAAAGTAACAGAATTTTTCAGATTAAAAGTATGAGCATCAATGGGAAGGAAAAAAAATCAGATGAAATTAATTGATAAAAAGCATGTTATATGATTTCACAAAATAATTATTAAATACTAACCGTTTTTCTACAGCTGAAATAAAATCAGTAAAATCAGGAAATGGAGTTCCTTCACCCCACATTCCAAGACGAGTCATATATGCCATATTACGAGGCTCAGATGCACCTGTAGCTGAAGCGTATACAACTCTAGATTTTGGAAGTTTATTTTGTAATTCCAAAACTGTTAGACCAGTTTTTGTTGGTTTTGAGGAACCTACAGGGCATAAGTTTTTTGCACGATGGCATTCATCAAACACTATCTAAGAAAGATATAAGGAACATATACATAACAAAGATAATTATTGAATAAAACAAACAAAACTCCATCTAAAATTTTGTCAGTAAAAGATTTTTAGAACAAATGAAGGAAAAATTATTAAATGAATAAACAAACTTACTTAAATCTATTTATGGAAAAGAAATTAAGACTAAATTATATAAACATTATATGAATTATATAATGTGATAAAAGTGAAACAAATTATTATAAAATTTTAATTAAACATTAAAGGATACTAAGCCATCAAAATCATCTCCACACCATTGAACAAGCTGCTTTAAGCGAGATTTATATTTTCCACTAGACTGAGTAGATTCACCAATCAATGCAGAATATGTAGAAAAAATCACTCCCCTCTTCACATTACCATTAACTGCTGAAGATATCTTGGCATACTTTAACTATAAATAAAAATATAAATTAAATTTAAAATGTAAATAAACAGGGTGGCTACCAGATAGTTAGAGTAAAATTCCCTGACATTACCCTATTTAATAATAGCGTTCCCTGACCAATATGACTGGAGAAACAAATATTAAAAATGTAAAGTTATAAATAAATTTATTTATTATAAATGTAAAGACATGTATGTATAATAAAAACGACAAAATTGGTTGTTATAAATATTCCGATATCAAGGTTAAAGCAGATTTTACTCAAAAAGATTAACAAATATTTATAACCAATTCATGATCCGTTCGATGAACCTCAAATTAATATTTTGTGAGGATGGTTACAAAGATTTTGCTCCAGACACAATACTGTATTTAAAAAAATTAACTGGGAACTGCCAGTTTTCTCTTTCAGTTAACTGAAAATAGGAATTGAAAGGTTTAGCCCACAGTTGATGAGAATTATCATGACGCTAACATATTCAATTCAATTTTTTAAATAGCTGATGCTTGATCGGTGTTTGTGCTAAAAATGGTTTGAATTTCCCGCATTACGTCGAGTGGTGGGGGCAGATCAGAGGATCTGAAAGATAACACTTAATCCTCAAGATTAAGCTGGTTTCTCGAGGCACTTCTTCACGGGCATACATCCTGGTCACACGGCACCAGTTTATGAGGGTCCTCAAGGTAATAAAAAAATGAAAGTTGGCATAAAGATGGTAAGCTATTTTTTGTACAATCAGTATAACCTACCAATCCATTAAGATACAGTCCACTGCATAAAAGTAGTATGTTGCCCATAATTTTGAATGTTGCCTTATTAAAACTCATGAGTTATTTGCCTTAATCAGAAAAGTTGCCTAAACAATCGGACTCTACATTTTAAGATTGAAAAATGTTCTAATGGACGTTTATGTATAGACAGAATTACCGCTAACAAGTTCATTACTTGTACAAAAAACTACTGTTTTAAGTCCATTTTGCTAAAATTTTATTCATTATCCTTGTTCGATTTCAATATAACGATAAGTGCCGTTATTGACAGTCACAGGCGGATAAATACATCGACTATAATAATTTCTAATGACAAAGTTTACCTCTCCAAGGTCATTTAAACAATATCCATTGGTTATTTATTCCCAATTTAAAAAAACATTTATTTAATAAAAAAATTTCCTGACTTTCCCCATTTTTTCCAGACCAGTCGCCAACCTGATAATTATAAATTTAAAAAATCTGTAACATTATAGCTCATGAAGGGATTTAAGGGGAATTAGAGAGGAAAAAACAATAAAATGACAGGAGTGCTGGTTTATTTCCTTTTTAGTATACAGTAGAGTCCCGCTTATCCGTCCTCATCAGGCCCAAGACATTGCCCGGTTAATACAGAGGATATAAAATTTAAAAAAACATCAATATTATTTTTTCTTCTATATTGCAGAAAAATTGAAAACATTTTATCTTTCAATGACACAACTCGTTTTCTTTTTTCACACTAGTTAATTGAATGAAAGGTGTAACACAATTGAAAAGAAAAATGTAGTACACAAAAAAACCTTGACCGAAACCTTTCCAAGAAAATGTGTCATGTCTAATGTTGGTAAAATACGCAGTTACAGCACAAAACAGTGCTGCATCAGAAATTGCGCACTATTTCTTTTTTTTAAATATAAAATAAATGGATAAGGATTTTGTTTCAAGAATCAACTTTACTTCAGATTTGTTTTATTGAGGTTCGGTATTGTAAAAAAATAATATACAAAAGCCTTTTTGTCTACATTTCAATCTATTTAGAATCTATCAAAACGTAATACAATAAAAATTAAATCTATAACCAGTGGTTAAGAATCTCACAAAGTGCTTTAAGGGTGTTTAAAATTTTTTTTTTCTTTTACCGCTACCACCAGTTAATCCGGAGAGCCGATTGAGCAGGAGTCTATTTACTGTATATGATTATGATCTTACAATTCTCTCTTTTGATTGCATCTCCCTCACCAATCATTGCATTATTTATACAAATGAATATTATGCTACCATTTGAGATTAATAAAGGAGTAGATAAAAAGTTTTAATTAATTAAAATATATATTTATAAACATTATATATATATAAATATATATATATATATATATATATATATATATATATATATATATATATATATATATATATATATATTTATATAAATGTTTGCAATCTAAAGAAAACACATATAACAGAATTATGAAAAACATATAATGAGATCTTAATTTTTTAAGGTATTAAGTAAGTGATAATATGAATTATATAAAATTGTTTCAATCAAAACAAGTTTTACACATTTTTAGTTGTAGGTCTATTAGAATGAAAATTTAAAAAATCAAAATTACAGCTAACATTATAAAATAATCTATAAATAAAATGGTAGTTACTTTATTTAATGAATAAACATCGATATTTGAAGCTCCAATATCTTTTAAATCTCTTTCAGCATCATACTTTAAATCATTGGATACTGAGACCCAAATGGCACGTTTTCTACCTTTCAAATAATTTTCATATATCATACCAGCTATTGTTCTACCTTTTCCAACACCAGCGCCATCACCTATAATTTAATATAATTAATAAATAGTCTACGATATATTAAATTAATTATTGAATATTATAAGTCAACACAAAAAATAAGAAATTTTCCCTCCTGGAGGGTTTTATTCTATATTTATTAATAACATAAAAAATAGGTAAATTAAAAATTTCCTACCTTTCTGTGCAAAATCGGACCATGGTCTATAAGATATTCATTATAGATCTTAAGATCTACTATCATATATTTAAAAATTTCTCATTGGAAATGGAAAATTCTTTATATATATACATGGGTACGCTGATGATTTGGTAGTGTTAAGCGAAAACATGGAAACAATAAAACTAAATACAACAACGTTGATGAAAGCCGGTAAAGAATTAGGACTTGAGATAAATACAGATAAGACAAAATATATGGTTAGCTGCAAAAACAGCAAAAATTTCGATGATATCGATATAGAAGGGAATGTTTGAACACGTACAGAATTTTAGGTATCTAGGATCTACGATAACTAGAAAAAATGAAATTGAAGAGGATATTAAGGTTAGGCTGAAGTCGTGAAATGCTTGCTATTTTTCATTGTCAAAATTACTTAGTTCTCGCCTCCTATCCCGAAACTTAAAAAAATTTACAAAACCATTATCCTACCTATGGTTCTTTAAGGATACGAAACGTGGCCACTTACATTAAGGGATGAGCAACGTCTTAAAGTTTTTGAAAATAAAGTATTGTGCAAAATATTTGGACCGAAAAAGGACGAGTCAACCAGAGAATTTAGGCGGTTACACAACGGTGAATTGCATGAACTCTATCCCGTTAATATAATTGAGGTGATTAAGTTGAGGCGAATAAAATGGGATTGTAAAATCGTTAGGCTTGGTAACAAAAGAATTCCTAAAAAAATAATATGTGCTGTACTGGCAAGCGTCTGAGTGGTAGAACAAAGCGAAGATGGGTAGATTGCGTTAAGGCTGATTTGGCAGGAGTTGGGTTTAGATGGAGCCCGGTTGATGGAAGAATGTGGACATGGATTGATGGTATCGGCATCTAACCTTCGGGTTAACTAAGCCTTATTATTATTATATTTAGGGAAATACCTTGTTTCATGGCATTTTCTGGTTACAGCATATTACCCAGACTTAAGTCAAGGGTAGGGTAAACAAATCAATCAATAAATTTTCAAACAATACTAACTATTCCGAATAACACCGCTTTCTGCATCAGCTCTAAACTATTGATCAAAAGGTTTAATTCCTTCATGGAGCACACTGTTATGTCCGGAATCAAACCATTTGCAGAGATGACCAGCGGCAAAACCCTCACTGCTTGAGCTCCTCACCAGGGTTTTGATATTTGCGAATTTTTTCCGCAACCACCTGGTGAAGGTTATCATCCGATTGCAACCCTATTTGGACAATCTTTGCATGGCTCTCGTCCTTCAAAATGAACAAAATATCAGGCCTGTTGTGTAGAATAGTGTAGTCTGTTATAATGGTGTGGTCCCAGTATAGCTTGACGTGCTGTTTATCAATGACCGATTGTGGTCTATACTTATAATAAGGACAAGTGTCGTCTAAAATCTCATGACAGAAAAATTATTTATTCTGTTAGTTTGGCTGCGGAGTGACCCTGGGGTAGGGAGACCCTCCTGGGGCACACCTAGCCTCTACAACGTGGGTACCTTTAATTAAAATAATTAATTAAGGGGGAAAACCCTGCTGGTTGAGCATGATCCTGGCCCGATCTCCTCCCTTTACAACCGTTGGCCCTTGAAACAGCACTTTCCTTAAATAGTACTGAACCCATAACCTTTCATGGGTTGTAGTGGTACTGGTTTATTTTTTATATATATATATATATTATATATATATATATATATATATATATATATATATATATTTGTGTGTGTGTGTATGTACCTTACAAACCATCATCCATTTTCTCAGTATTATATGATATCCTACATATAATTATTATAAAATAATAGTGTTATTATTTAATGTTATTTTCATCATCTTTGTCTCACATGTATGATGTGGCACTCATAAAGCATAGGCTTTCTAATAAAAGAAAAGATCTGAAATAGTTGCTTTTGTTAATTTTAATTTAATACGAAGGATTTCTCACTAAACAATCATTATTTGAAACTACAATCAAACAGTCAAGCATCCATCACATAAAATTAATTTGGAATGAATAGGATTTTTTTTTTTTTCAAAAGCAATTACTCACTATTTTGTCAACTCTAAAATATCATTTAGTAAAAATAAATTATATACCTATCAGAAATCCAGCCCTACTACCATCAGGCAGAAAATGCTCATGTTGTTGAGATGCATAAGTAATAGCTTCCAATTGTAAGGCTGAGAGGGATCCAGTCGAAATAGTACTTTCAGGAATAGATAATTGATACCAGACATCAGTTGGCTCTACACTTGATAGGGAAGCTGTCTCTACAACTGGATCAGGATGCTTTTTTCCTAATTTCACTAAAAGCATAAAAAATAATGATAGCTACAAAACAATGTATATATTTCTGAGAGAAAACACACACACTTCAAAGATACATGTAACAAGTTTTTCCAACTCTTGTGTGTACACAGTTTAGAATTTTAGAAATATTAAAACAAAACAAAAAAATCACTAAAAGTTAATAAAATTTCAGTTAATAATTTACATACATCAAGTTTTGAGATAAGCCTAATATTGTTGATGTTAAAGCTGTGATTTTACATTATATTTTTTCAGATGTGGACCAAAGTTATGTGAAGTTACTATATGAATAAGGTTATTCTTATCAAAATCATATTTGCTTAGACGAGGTATTAATTAATGTGAGAGTTTACATCATATTTATTGAGAAATATGGTTTTGACACAGAATAAATTCACTGTTCTGATTTCTCAGATTTCAAACAGCACATCAAGTCAGATGTTGAGAGGCAAATGAGTAGGGTAACATGAGGGCTGTAGAGAGAGATGGGTGCGGGAATCTCCCCCAGTCCTGGCGGAATGATCAAGCAATAGTGCCCTACCCACTGCTTGAGACTTCCCAGTCCTCCCTATCCCTATCAACGCCTACTGTCACCTCTTTGTGGTGCCTCCCGGAGAATCCGAAGGGACTCGCGAACGACAGAGATGGGGATCCACACTTCTGTCTTCAAATTTAGGGCGCAGTTGTGTGGATCCTTCTACGAAACCCAAACTAGATTGGAGGGAGCTCGTGCCGTGGATGAGTGGCAGTGGATGTCTTAAATAAAATACACTGCCCTCTCCCTGCAGAAGGTAGATAGATAGATAGATAGATATTTTATTTGTTTTTGAGGGGTTCCCCATACAAATAGAGCCTAGCTTGGCTATTGTACAATAATATGGTTTTACAAATTTACATACCATTCATTACATATCATTTAAATATAAATAAACTTTACAATATTTTCCGTTTATAATGGGTTTTACAAAGCATGAAAAACAATAAAAGTTAAAAACATAAAACGATTACTGCATAATGATAGTTAAATGAACCTGTTACTATGATAGAACAATAAGAAATAAAAATATGTATATATCCAAACAAAATACTACTTTTTACATAAACTAAAAATAAACACTTAATATAACATGGGCTATGATCAACAATTTTGTGAATGTACTTTGTGTACTCCCATCATATAATAGTAAACTTTGTTTACTTTATCTATACAGTCGATATTCAATATAGTTTCAATGTTGTGGTTATCAGAAGATTCTGAGATGAAGTTATGGAGGAATTTTCGTCTATATTCATTGTATGCGGGATCGGGAGCGTTGTAACTGCATAACATTCTGTATAAAGGGTAGTTAGTTGAGTTTCAAGTTCTTTGAATGTCGGCTGAGAAATAATAGTTGTGTGCTTTTTCAAGGATGTCGTCTTTGTATCGAAGAAGTCCGTTTGTGTGGTGAACAGAAAGCTCTTCTGCAAAGGCATTAAGCTCAGCTATTGCTCTAAATTGAGACACCCAATTGAATAGTTAATTTCCATAACTAATCAATGGTGGGTGTTGGGAGAGTCTCCGGACCCAAGAAACATGAAATCTGGAAGGATGTAACCCCTCGGAGGTTGGTTCTCCTGTAGCTGGCTCCTCTTAATGATGGTTAAGCAGTTGCAGGGGAATCTCTATCACTGCGTGGCAGCTTGTGGCCTGCTTCAGCAGTATGTTAGAGGTGAGGATATTGATTCAAGAATCTTACCTATTCGAGAGCAGGATTAGGGGACAGGACATGGCTGGATATAGTATTATTGTAGTGCCTGTCAGAGAACCTGTATCCTGTTCAAGAATAGAATTAAGCTGATGCCTCTGTGGCTGACCTGGCAGCAGCTCAATTAGCTCTCTGAGGAAAAGGATGGGGAGAGGATCATAGTGGCAGTGGTGTACCTCCCATATGAAGAGGACATCCTTACAGCGGCTCTAAAAAGCTTGGCGGAAAGGATGGAGAAAGAAGCGGTGATAGCATCACTGGATGCCACTGCTCACCACAAGATCTGGGGAAGCTCTAAGAACAACCGGAGAGGTGAGTCTGTTTTAGAATATTTAAGTAGCTTCGACATTAAGATTCTAAATAGGGGAAATGTTGCCACCTTTGTTAATAGAATCCGCTGGGAAGTAATAAACATAACATTAGGGACATGTGCTTGAGTTCTAGGATAAAGGGATAGCATGTCTGTGATGAAGAATCATGCTCTGATCACCATAATATCAGATTCGATTTGTCTGGATATAATGTGGCTCAGGCTGCATACAGAAACCCAAAACGCACAAATTTGGAGAGATACTGCATACAGTTCGAGGAAGAAGACAAATGCTGTCCTAAGATCATTAGGAATTCTTGGCATTTGGAATGCCTCAACTCCTCATTATCTGAGGCAATTATGAGGTCTTACATTGACAGTAACTGTGTCAGTTGCGTTAGGTCCATCAGGAATGTCTCCTGGTGGAACTATGAACTGGGAAAGTTAAAAGCCTCAACTAAAAAATGCTGCCAAGAGTACGGGCAGATGGGATACCGATAAGCATGCCCTTACTGAATACAATCAGGCCATACGTATGGCAAAAAGAGGGGCGTGGAGAAACTTCTGTAGTGATATAAATGACACATCATCCACGCCTAAAGTCCATAAAAACTTATCAAAGCAAACAGACGGATTGGTCATTGGCACAGTCAGGGTTGAAAGAGGTAGCACCTATTCTGGAGAAGATACTATGGAGACTCTGGTGCGTGTCCATTTTCCTGGCTGCCTAATGCGAGATGAGCATATAGTTAATCCTGCTATGGATAGTTACACCTGTGGCAAGACAAGTGGGTTGAAGCCAAAAGAATTGTGAATTATAGGAAATTTGAATTGGCAATTAGTTCCTTTGCACCATTCAAATCAGCTGATACTGATGGGATTATCCCGGCTCTTTTTAAAAAAGGCTTACCTGTGATCAAACCATGTCTTTTGGAGTTATTTAGGGGTAGTTTAGCATGAGCATATATCCCTAATAAGTGGAGGGAGGCAAGAGATTGTTATATATCTAAGTCTGATAAAGAGTCTTATGACAATCCCAAAACATACAGACCTATATATCTGACTTCTTCCCTGTTAAAAGCGCTGAAAAAGATTATGGATAGACACATTAGGGACATTAGTATACATTAGTAGAAAGACTGCCACACCATGCCCAATTTGCCTAGCAAGCTGGTAAATCCTGTGAGACAGTGTTGCATCACTTGGAATCAAGAAAAGCTTATCTCAGAAAGAGATTATGGCAGGTAACTTTGTTGATATTGAAGGTGCTTTTGATCATAATCAATATGACACAATGGCTAGAGCATTGGAAAGTAGAGGAATCAGACTCTTGGCTTCCTAATGGATTAATTCGGGTTCCGAGGGGTAGAGTCCTTAAATCTAAGCTGAGACAATCTGTACTGTGGGTTAAACCTGTTGGAAGGTGTCTATAGGGGAGTGTGATGTCTCCACCTTTGTGGTGTTTGGTCGTCGACTCCCAGATTTTTAAATTGAATGCGGCGAGATTTTATTCTCTGAGATATTCCTGTACTGATAGGGGGTAAATTTCCAGATACTATTTCTGGATTGCTCCAAAACACTATGAGACTTCTGAAAGAATGGTGCCAGATTAATGGTCTTGGCATAAATCTGAAGAAGATAAATCTATATATCTTCACTAACAGAAGGAATATCAATATTATACCACCATCACTAAATGGGTCAACATTAACAATCTGTAGTGAAGTAAAACATTTTGGGGTTTCTCTAGATAGTAAGTTAAACTGGCTGTCATATTTAAAAGATTAGTGGTAAGGCTAGACGCTGTTTATGGGCGTGCAGAAGAGTTGTTAGTAAATCATGGAGGGCTGAAACCCAGTATGGCCTTATGGCTATATAGAACTGTGATTAGATCCTTAATCCTCTATGTGACTCTTGTGTGATGGCATAGGGCAGCTGCAAGCAAGCCTAGAATGCTGCTTGACAAACTTCAAAGGCTTGCATGACTTATGACTGGAGCTATGAACACTACTTCCAATGCTGCAACGGAAGTTCTCTTGAATCTGACACCATTGCATTTAGAGGTGGTAGCACATGCTCTTACAACTGCCTATAGAGTGGATATATTGGGAACGAGATCAAAATTCCTGATGTTTCAGGGTCATGGGATCGTTTTTGATAAGATTGATAGCAATGAGGTATTTGCGATGAGCTCCGACCTTCAAGTCGATAATTATAGATATGTACTGTATAATTTGATGATAAGCAGGAATAACTCACATAGACCGTGCAGTGGAGTTAACTGTTATACCAACGGATCCTTGATGGAGCAAGGATCAGGAGCTGGTGCCTAGAGAAAGGATAAACCTAGTGATGGATTATTCATATCTCTAGGCACTAGCGGATTGAGAATTTAATTTTTGGGGGCTTCAGCCCGACAGCTTTTTTTCCATATATATAACAATATTTACTTTTTTAAAAAAAAGATGTGTCCAATGACGTTGATTTGATCGCCTTTTTTACTACTTGGACATCGATGGATGTAAGATTTGGCGTCGGGGCGCAATTCTCGTAGTCCGCACGTTTGCAGAGATTTTCTTTCTCAAAGAGGCTTCTGAAGTGGCCTTCAATCTCGGCTACCTTCAGAGGGCATTGCTTAGGAGCGTCGGCGTTCATAATATTCTGCACCACTTTCTTTCTTCTGTTATAATAATTGTACTGGGCTACCTCATATTAATAAGTAACATTATGAACTTTCAATACATATACATACATACAGAGTCTATAACATTATAACAGAAGAAACCATATGTTTCCATTCCTCAAAGAAATAAAAATTGATAACATTCCAACAAACGTAAGCTTAAAATTTTAACTATATATAAATGAAAATATTTCAGACTTTTTCAATCATACATAAATGTAACTATATAATTAAAAAAAAAGAAAAACCGTTAATACAAGAGATATTTTAAAAGACATTTTTGTAACAGTATTAAGAATTTTACATTAATTTACAATGAATGATCCTCCCTTCCACAAAAAAAACACAAAAATTAATGAATAAAGGACGGTGAAAATGTTTTAATCCATCAATTAATTAGATCAATGGGTTGGACTTAAAAGACACAAATCGTAGTTCCTAACTTTTGAAGAAATTCATACAGATAAGAAGCAATGTAGACATGCAAAAATAACATCTATTTAACAATTCTACTAAAACTCAAAAAAATGTATAAAAAATATTTACATTTAGGAGGCATGTAATCAGCATACGTTTCTGCGACTCCCATGTCTTCATCTTCATTATCTTCTTCTTCTGCTGTTACCAATGGCATCTAACAATGAAAAATAAATGTGATTACAGATACATATGTATAAGAAATATATTACACCATTTTCCAAATAAGTCATAACTACCTTAATATCTGAATTCATCCAAAAATTTGAAAGAGTTTTATTATTCATCATTGCATTCATCCAATTGGCTTGATTTGCATGAAAAGGGTTCTTCTGGGCCATTAAATGATTAATTAAAGCTCCATTACCTTGCAATACCATAGGATTTATGCCACCCATATTTGCATAAAGTAAACTTGGATCCGTCAAGCCAGTCAAGCCAGCCATTTCCAAACCTACAAATCATATAAAGTTTTAAATAGTTCATATATTAAAAAAAAAAATGTTAAGGTGTTAAATAATAATAGACTATAGTAGAGGCGGTAAGAGTATTAATGTTAATTTTTATTATGCTGTATTTATATTGCTGTAATTTATCATGTTGTGTGTCCATCAACCCAACATAACTGGGCAGTAAGCTTTTATATATTATATGAAAACAAAGTGTTTCTCGTGGTTTGAGCACTCAGTGCTCAAACCAAGTCCTGAAGATGACCCACATGTTTGGTTTGAAACGTTGGCATAAATAAAAAAAAATACTGTGTCCTGAATATTTATCACCCATGATATGTAGAACAGTCGACTAACTTCCTTCAATATTTAGGGAATATGAGGAATCCCCTTTTATATTATAGAGACAACATTAGAACGTTCTGGAGAAAAGTTAAAGGCCTTAGAGGACTTTTTAGCTAACCAAAAAATGTTGATAATACAGACAATTGTAATGGATTGAAGTGATAAGTAGTACAATGTATTATACAATATTTTAAGCATAACAATATTGATCATAAAAAAAGTATATTATTAACAATTACATAGTTCTAATTCTATAGGTATAGTTAAACATATCTGTGCCTATTTTAGTATATATTTATATTGAGACTAGACGGTATATATATGTATGTATATGTATATATATATATATATATATATATATATATATATATATATATATATAATAAATGTAGTAGTAGTTACGTTACCTCTGTACATTGAAGGGGAAATGAAAAACTATTTTTAATTATTAGAGACTATTGTTTTAGAAGGTGGAAAATGTCCGAATATGTATTGCAGATCTTTTCTTTGTCTACTTTGTGGTTTACCGGATTTTTTTTTTCCAAATTAATGAATATAGATTCTGAAAATAGTCGTTTTTGGTGATAGGGAACTGTGGCAAGTATGGTTGGGATTACAAAATCAAATGTGTGATTAAGGGTTATGGCATGTTTGAGCAATACTGGAGAAGTCTGGTGCAAGGCAATTACAAATTCTTTCATCAACCTTCCGGCCTGGCGATGAGTAATTGCCTTGCACCAGACCACTCCAGTATTGTCCTAAACAACCTAATTGACTTGATATCACCCCAATTTCCCAATGATATTTTTTTCATTAAAAAATATGTTGACGATCTTTTATTAATCCTTATCGCCCACACTATTCTAAACATACTTACTGCATTCAACTCATACCACTCTCGATGCCATTTTACCATTAAAATAGAATCAAATAATTCCCTACCATTTCTTGATATCCTTATATCCAGAAATAATGATACCTTTTCACCAATTGGTACACCAAACCTACCTACCACATGCTTACAACCAAAAAATCAGTGAAGCTAAAAACCTGATACACCACAGTCTAACATTAGCCGACCCATAATTCATGACAATAATGTAACTAAACTGCACAAGATCCTGAAATCCAACGCCTTTCTTGATCACATAATAAAAAACCTAATTAAAAATCAATCCAAACTTCATCTTCACCATTCTCCCACAAACTGCTCTCAATCTCCCACCACGATTCGCCAATACAGATCCATTCCATACATCCCGGCATATCTCAAAAAAAAAAAAAAAAAAAAAAAAAATTAACTTCCAAATTCCCCTATCTACAAATAGTTTTCAAAAATAACAGTAAATTTAGAAATTTATACACCAAACTCAAAGATCCTGTTCCGCTCCAAGAACAATCCAATATAGTATACCATATGACATGCTCTAGCCCAAACTGTAATTCTTCTTATATAGGAGAAACAAAAAACTATTTAAAAAACAACGAATATATCAACACAAATACACCATATCCACACAAAACCCGCTCACCTCGAAACTAGCCGAACACGCCATAACCCTTAATCACACAGTTGATTTTGGACACCCAACCATACTTGCCACAGTTCCTAATTATTAAAAACGACTATTTTCAGAAGCTATATTTATTAAAAAATAATCCGGTAAACCACAAAGGAGACAAAGAAAAGATCTGCAATACATATTCGAACATTTTCCACTTCCTAAAACAATAGTCTATAATAATTAAAAATTGTTATATTTTTTATGCTTAAAATATTGTCTAATATATTGTACTACTTATCATTTCATTTCATTTCAATTCATTACGATTGTCTGTATTATAAACATTATTTGGCTAACTATTGTATACCTTCAATCAAACTATTTTATGTTTATATTGATTGGCACCTCTTACTTATGTTCATTTCAATACTAGCCAATAGTCACAATTTTTTTAACTATAAGAAACAACGCTAATCTTGTATACACCTAGAATAATTTAGTCAGCAAATTATTTGCATTCTACAAACATAAATATTAGCCCCTCCCCTCTTACTATGTTCACCTACCTTTTGCTCTCTCAAACAGCACATCTGGGAAATCCTCCATCAACCCTTTTACTTATTTACCAAAGTGTCAGTACTTGAATATCTTCAGTGCTCGAAACGCGGTTAGTAAGAGAAAATATTACATTTTTTATAAAGCCTGGGATAGAAATAAGAGCTTATACCTTGCTTTCCTAGATATTAAAGCTATGGTTGACTCAATAACAAGAGAAAAAATATGGAAAGCCCTGAGAGCAAAGAACGTGGCGAATGGTTTGTTAATCGCATTACAATCAACATATCAAGCACGAAAGGGCATTGTAAGAATTAATGGTCTGGAATCGAAGAACTTCCCGATGGAAAAAGGAGTAAAGAAGGGGGACAGTCCAAGTCATCTACTGTTTATCATCTTTATTGATGAAATAATAAATATTTGTAAGAGCAGTACGCCAAGAGCTATAATTGGACAATGGCATATGAGAACTATACTGGCACAAGTAATGGTATATGGCTACAACATTGTCCTACAGGCTTACTCTATAAATAACCTCCAGCAAGCCCTACTAAAGTTGAAAGCAGAACTGGGGAGGAAGGATATAAATATTAATTCCAGAAAAAGCAAAATCCTACAAGTAGGACAAGAGCCCAAACAAATACATATAACGTGCAATAATGAGGAGCTTGAAGACGTAAATGAGTTCTCCTACCTTGGAACTGTTCAGCCGCTTGTTTGTTCGTTCGTTTGGTTCGGTCGTTCGTTCGATTCATTTCTTTGTGTGTGTGTGTAAAATGTAAAGGTAGGTAAAATGTAAAGGTCCTTAAATGTAAAGGTAGGTACGTAAATGTAAAAGTAAAGAAAGAAAAGTTCGATTCGTTCGTTCGGTTCATTTGTTTCTGTGTGTGTGTGTAAGATATAAAGGTAGGTAAAATGTAAAGGTGGATAAATGTAAAGGTAGGTAAAATGTAAAGGTAGGTAAAATGCAAAGGTAGGTAAAATGCAAAGGTAGGTAAAAATGTAAAGGTAGGTAAAATGTAAAGGTGGATAAATGTAAAGGTAGGTAAAATGTAAAGGTAGGTAAAAATGTAAAGGTAGGTAAAATGTAAAGGTAGGTAAAAATGTAAAGGTAGGTAAATGTAAAGGTAGGTAAAAATGTAAAGGTGGATAAATGTAAAGGTAGGTAAAATGTAAAGGTAGGTAAAAACGTAAAGGTAGGTAAAATGTAAAGCTGGATAAATGTAAAGGTCAGTAAAATGTAAAGGTATAGGAACTTTAATAGGAAAAGTGTTTAATTGATTCGGTATTAAACTTGGAGCACTCAAATTGTTTTTTTGCAGAATAATTTCAAAAATATACTACTGAAAATTTAATTTTTATTTTGCATAAACTTCTATATCATATATCTTGAAACACTAAAATTAGAATCGGTAAAGTTAAATTTTAAGCTAATGATAATATGTAACTAAAATAATTTAATTGATTAAATCAATGAAAAAAAGATCTTTTATAGCTCAGCTCGGCTTCAGTAAGTTAGTAGTCCAATGGAGAGAACTCATGGAGAATTGAAGTTGCAGCTAATGTTTTTTTTTTCTTATCCTTTAATAATATTCATAAATTAATGACAAATATATATATATATTATATATTTGTAAATAATATCAGAGGTTAAAGAAAATAAAACAATTAGTTTAAACTTAGCTTCTCCCCTGACTGCCAAATAATTGTGGACAAGTTATAAAATAACTATTTTATTAAGGTAATCTATAATTAATTAGAAATATTTATCAACTTTTAATAACTATAATAATTACTTTGCTGAAGAAACTGAGCAGGATTTGTAGATACCATTGAAGGATAGCCTACAGAAGACGGAAAACCCAAAGCACCAAGCATGTTTGCAGTAGATTGCAATGGATTATAAGGTGTCCTAACCATTTCATAGCCAGGTGATACATCTTTCATAATCAGTCCACTAGGCAACTTTCCTTTGTTATTTTGTTCTAATTCTGTAAAAAAAAGATGTAAAAATCAGATAACTATTCATACAAGCAATAAAACGTTACAATTAAATAAATAAATAATAATAACATAAATTTAAAGTTCTTGTTTTTACAAAAGAACAACCTTATGGCACAAGAGCAGATTAGATGTAAGCGAAATTCTAAGGGATGTAAAGAGCTCCTTGTAGTCGATTCATTCATAGCTTATCAAGTATCAAAAACGTCGCACAATATATCTCTTTCGTGGATTGACTATCAGAAAGCATTCGACTCAATCCCTCATGACTGGTTGATTGAAATTCTCAGGATTTATGAAGTCGATCAAAGGGTAATAGAACTATTGCAACAACTTATGAAGCTATGGGAAGTATCATTGGTACATCCAACTAAAAGGAAGCCCATCGTCTCAGAGAACATTCCCATAAAAAGAGGAATATTTCAGGGGGGTTCGTTGAGCCCTTTATGCCAATTAATCCTCTAAGCTCTATTTTAAATAAATCTGGAAAAGGCTATTCCCTGAATCAGGAAACAATAATTTCTCACTCTTTTTATATGGATGACTTAAAACTCTATGCAAAGAACAGGAGAGATCTGAGAACTCTTCTTGAGCTGGTAAGTTCATTCACTGAAGATATTGGGATGAAGTTAGGAACAGTTAAATGCGCAACCCTTAATGTCCACAGAGGAAGATATAAGGATTCAACTAATATTGAACTTAATAATAGTGATGCCATCAAGCAACTTCAGTTAACTGATTCCTCCAAGTATCTTGGTATCTCACAGCTGCTTAAATTCAAAAAAGAGATCAAAGAAACTTTTGAAGAAGAATTTAAAAAACGGGTCCGAATACTCCTAAAAACTAATTTATCGGTAGGAAATTTAATAAAAGCCTTGAATACCTGGGCGATTCCTGCTGTTACATATTCCTTTGGAATAATAAAATGGTGCGACACGGATTTGGAAAAGATGGACTGCTTATTAAGGACGGAAATGATAAAATCACGGCAATGTCACCCAAATTCTTCAGTTCCAAGACTATATTTGCCTAGAAAACATGGAGGTAGAGGACTTCTACCTTCTACCTGAGGAAGATTTTACAATTCCCTGAAAACACCTGGCATGAATTTAGAAGCCTCAGTCCGTTGGTTGACTACAGGAAAAATGTTCCCAGAGACAGAGGGATTCCTTCTGGCAATACAAGAACAGGTAATGGCGACATCCTCCTACAGGAAGTATATTCTACATGAAGCAGTCGATGACAGATGCCGTCTATGTAAAGCCACAAATGAATCCATTCAGCATGTTACCTCTGGCTGCCAAGCATTAGCTGGTAAAGAATACCTAGCGAGACATAATAATGCGGCAAAAATCGTGCATGAGGCTCTGGCACAAAAATATAAATTAATAACAGGCCATCAGCCTTTTTATAGATATCAGCCGCAGGCTATATTGGAAAAAGGGAATGTCAAGCTATACTGGGATCAAACTATGATAACTGACCACAGTATTCCTCACAATAGACCAGATATACTGCTCGTTAACAAAGATACAAAAAAAGCCATCATTATCGAAGTTGGAATTCCTGCTGATGATAATGTAGCTAAAACATTAAGTGAAAAAATTCGGAAGTATCAAGAGCTTTGCGAGGAATTAAGGCAGTTATACCGGCTGCTGGAAGTAAAAGTACTACCCATTATCGTATCCAGCAATGGCCTGATTCCTGAAGATACTCTAAAATCAAGTGATCTTCTATGAGGTCATATTATTATTTGTAAAATATAAGAGAAATGTTACACTAGATAATAAATAAATTCAAGTTATCTATTATCTTTATATTTGTTATTCGAGTTTTCAAATAATGTGATGCTAATTTTATTTTTTTTCGATATAAGGATTGATTTATATGTTTTCGGAGCCGTACTTTTTGAAAATATTCACCATTTTGAGGCTAAGCCACTGCATCTTGACTTATTTGAGTTTTTCGGATTTATTTCATATGAGAGTCTATTTAAATGTTTTCGGAGCCAAAGTTTTTGAAAATGATCTCTATTTTAGGATTATGCCACTGCATTATTATTTTGACTTCTTTGAGTATTTTGAAGCTGTAGTTATTGAAAGTTATGTCTATTTTGAGATTACGCAACTGTGTTGAGACTTATTTGAGTTTTTCTGATTTCTTTTATATCAGGGTCTATTTATATATTTCCAAAGCCACAGTTTTTGAAAATGATGTCCATTTTGAGATTATGCCACTGCATTAAGACTTATTTGATTTTTTTGGAGCCAAAGATTTTGAAAATAATGTCATTTTGAAATTAGCCACTGCATTGCGACTTATTTGAGTTTTTTTTTATTTCTTTCATATGAGGGTATATTTATAAGTTCTCGGAGCTGTAATTTTTGAAAATGATGTCCTTTTTGAGATTACACCACTGCGTTTTGACTTATTTTGAGTTTTTCGAATATCTTTCTAATGGGGGTTTATTTATATGTTTTCGGAGCCCTAGATTTTGAAAATTATGTCATTTTGAAATTACGCCACTGCATTGCGACTTATTTGAGTTTTATTGATTACTTCGATATGAGGATTGACTTATATGTTTTGGGAGCCGCACTTTTTGAAAATTTTCACCATTTCGAGACCACGCCACTGCGTCTTGAATTATTTAAGTTTTTTGGATTTATTTCATATGAGAGTCTGTTTATAAGTTTTCGGAGCCTTACTTTTTGAAAATAATATCCATTTTGAGATTACGCAACTGCACTTTGACTTATTTGAGTTTTTCGGATTTCTTCCACATCAGGGTCTATTTATACGTTTTTGGAGTAGTACTTTTAGAAAATGGATTCTCTTTATGATTACACCACTGCGGTCAGACTTAAGTTTTTCGAATTTTTACTATATACACCGACAGGAAAAAATTCCACCCACTTGATTTTTCCATGTTTTCATTTAAAAATATTTCTGTAAAGTTGTATTTGTATATAATACGTTTTATTTGTAGATAATACTTAGTATTTATGGAATTTTATAATCTTTTTTACCTTTAATAATCAAAATGTGATTGGGTAAGAAAGATTAGAGAAAAAAAAATTAAAAAACCAACTATTATTATTCTAAAAGAAATTAATTACATCATCGTTTAGTAGCGCGTGTTTCCTCCTCTTGTCTTCAATACTTCTTGAAGACGCCTCGGTATACTTTCCACCAGTCGGGAAATGTCCCTTTGCTGGAGGATAGCCCATTCCTCCCAAAGAGCCCTTTCAAGGTCCTGCAGTGTATCAGGAAGTGTTGCACGCACTCTTATTCGTCTTCTGAGGTTATCCCATAAATGCTCAATGGGGTTCAACTCTGGAGAACGTGCTGGCCAGACTAAAACCTCAATATTGTTCTGTTGAAGGAACGTCTGCACTATGCGGGCGTGCATTATCGTGCATTAGAATAGAACAATCGCCGATTTCGTTGAGGATAGGCAACACATGAGGTTCCAAAATCTCATCTACATAGCGAACGACCGTCAAAGACCCTCCACAAACAACAACCAATTCTGTGCGGTGCTCCATTGAAATCCCATCCCACACCATTAAGGAACCACGTTGGAAAGGTTGGCTCTGGGAAAAATTACAGGCTGCATTTCTTTCGTTTCTTCTTCTCTACACCCTTTCACGCACGTCTGGAGATCGAAGAGCGAATCTTGACTCATCTGTAAACAGTACAGCACTCCATTCGTCCATAGTCCAATGGCTGTGTTCTCGAGCAAAAGCCAGCCATGTTATTCTGAGAGTTCTGGTCAACTCTGGTCCTCTTACTGGACGAAAAGCCACTAATCCATACTCATTTAATCTTCTCCGAGCGGTACGTTCAGAAATTTGCACACCACGAACTTCTTCGAGCTGATGAATCATTTGAACAACGGTAAGGTGCCGGTTTCGTAAAATTCTCAAAGTCAAAAACTGGTCATCCCGTGGTTCTGTTACCCTACGCCGGCCAGAACCGGGCCTTAAAAATTGTAAAAACCAGTTTCCCAAAAATGCCTGACGGCGTCTCATAAAGTTTCATACGGAACTCCGATGGCATTAGCTGTATATCTAATGAAACGTCCATCATCAATAAGTGCCACACCACGCGCAACATCCTCAACACTAAGAGGCATTTTTAAACTTAATATTGAAAAAATTAAAAGCCGAAGACTAAGAAATGTGCTGCAAGAAACGGCACTGAACTAATGATACTGAATAAACATTTTGATTCCATAGAAAGTAAACATTGGAATCTAGAATCATTTCATTGAATTAAGGATTAAGGGTAATTGTCCTCTATATTAACATTCCTAATTGAAAACAAACAAAAAGATTACCTATTTATTCATTAAAAACAATAGACCAATCCAAAGCAGAAATATTTTTAGATGAAAACATGAAAAAATCAAGTGGGTGGAATTTTTTGCCTGTCAGTGTATAAGGGTCCAATAATGTTTTCGTCCAATTATGTTGTTTGGATTTACTTCATAAAAGGGTTTATTTATATGTTTTCGGAGCCCTAGTTTTTGAAAATTATGTCGTTTTGAAATTACGCCACTGCGTTGCAACTTATTTGAGTTTTTCGAATTTTTTTCTTATGGGGGTTGGTTTATTTATATGTTTTCGGAGCCCTAGTTTTTGAAAATTATGTCATTTTGAAATTACGCCACTGCATTGCGACTTATTTGGGTCTTTTGAATTTCTTTTTTATGGGGCTTTATTTATATGTTTTCGGAGCCCTAGTTTACCTATTTAAACCTATTTATCTGAATATGTATTTTTTAGAATTGTTTTATATGTTTTTATCATACAAACATAGTTTTAACCTATTTTTATGCTTATATATTGATATGTTTGTATGATGATGAAAAGATATGGACTCGGATCTATAGCATTTCCAAGTCAATTTCAACCTTTTCCAAATCAAATTCAACCTTTTCCAAGTCAAATTAAACCTTTTCCATTTCAAATTCAACTTTTTCCAA